CCCATCCCTGGACGCCTCGCGCACACTTGGGCCACGCGCGAAGGACGCGAGATCACCTTGTCCATGCGGCTGGATTCTAGTCGGAGGTGTTGGTTATCAGGGATCGAAGATTGTGCTCGGGTGCGTTGAGAGTCACAGGTGCGAGGAAGATCTGCAGGACCTGGTTGAAAAGGAGCTGGACCAGGCTGCTGCCCCCCCCCCCACCTTGCAGGCTGATGTGAGCGAGCTTTCACGGAACGTAACATCGACGGGTTGCAGAAGTGGTGTGACATGATCGCGTTTGGTAGGACCCTCGGGGGTTTCGCCTCTCCGTCCCTCACCACCTGGGAGTTGCAGTTCGTGCGCCCTGCGGCCAAAATCCCCCACACACACACGTCGGGGGTTCTGCGCACCGTGGAGGAACCTTGTGGCCGGAAAGCAGTGTCACCCAAGGAGCGAGAGGTGCTCGATAGAACCAACAAAAAGTTGAGAGCCATGTTCAGGATTGGGTTCGCTTGCAGAGACGCGCCTCTTCCGTTCATGATGGATTTACTTACCAGATAGCCGCCGTTGGCACGAGGGCTCGTCCGTGGCAGGTGCCTGAGGTAAAAAGATTGGCCAGGCTTCCCACCGCCAGAATCGTCAAGATTGGCGCTAGACCGGGGAGGAGGAGGAGGAGAAGGAGGAGAAAGAAGAAGAGGAGGAGGAGGAGGGAAATGTTTCAGGTGAGCTAGCAGACTCTACGAGGTTCTTGCAGGCTGTGGTTGGTGTCAGGAGTTCGATGAGGGAAAAGACGCAATGGAATGCTTCCCCTCCCCCTCTTCTTCTTGGGTCTGCTCTCCCCGCTTGGTGACAATATTCTGAGTAGGTGTGGTGGAAAGGCTGCAGGGCAAGGCGACTTGGCTTGATGGGCTCGAGGTCGCCGTTTTCAGGTTCCCGCAGGCGGGGTATACTGTTGATTCGAGGCGCATAGGTTCACAGTGGCGGTTATTCCAACGAAAGAAGTCCACAGGGATTTCTTGCTTTTTGCGCTTCCCTTTCTTTCATGCCAACAATTGTTTTGGCCCCGTGCCCTCCTCCGCCTCCTCCCCCCGTCCTCCCTACCTCCTTACCCCTCCATCCCCATCGTGGGCCGACGGGGACTAGCCAGGAGCAGAAGAAGGACGTACACGTACATGAATCCACGTTGTTTTCGAGAGTATTCAAAGCGCGAGTGTTCGTATCACGCGGCCGGTCTCGCGGATCGAGGGGCCGTGTTCATGTACATGGTTGGGCGCGTACGTCCTTCGTGGGCTCCCTAACTAGGGCGAGCAACTCACCAGCGGTTCCGCCCACGTGAGCCCAATCGAGAGTGAAGGGAGGACAGGCCGCCGAGGAAGAGGAGGATCGGGGGAGGGAGGCGGGAAAAAGCAGGAAAGTATGGAGCGACGGAGGAGAGAACGAGGTAGTGGAGAAGAGCAACGGGCCAGCACGCAGCAGGATTGCGGGAGACAAGTCCGAGATCCGCGTTGTGGTGTGGGGAATTCGGGGTCCACTCGTCCAACCACCTCCCTCTCCCCCTTGACATCCTGCTCCTCTTATACTTCCTCCTCTTCCTGATCGTCCTCCCTGCCTCGTCGTCCTCCGCCTCCGCCTCCTCCTCCTCTTCCTACACGTTTCCTCCTCCATCTCCTCTCCCTCTTCCTCCTCCTCCTTCTCCTCCTCCTCTTCTCCTCCTCCTCCTCCTCGTCAGCAGCAGCACCGGCGGCAGCAGCAGCAGCATTAGCATCACCAGCAGCATCAGCAGCAGCTTCCCAATAGTGGATTGATGGTGCGCCGTTCCTTGTACAGGTGGTCGCGTCGATGCTTGTCCGCACAGATGAGTCTAAATCCTCATAATAGTAATAATAATAATAATAATATTAATAATAATAATAATCATCATCATCATCATCATCATCATCATCATCATCATCATCATCATCATCATCATCATCATCATCATCATCATCAGTTGAATCATCATCATCATCATCATCATCGTCATCATCATCATCAACAACATCACCATCATCATCAGCAGCAGCATCAGCATCAGCATCATCAGCAGCAGCAACAGCAGCAGCATCATCATTACATGCAGGCACATCATCAGCAGTAGCATCATCACCACCATGATCATCATCTTCGTCGTCATCAGAATCACCATCACCGTCGTCGACATAATCATCATGATCGGCAGCGTTATCATCATGACCCTTATCATCATCGCCATCATCAGAGTCATCATCATCAGCAGCAGCATCATCATCTTCATGATCTTCATCATCATAATCATCATCCTCATCCGTAGCATCATCATTAGCAGCAGCATCATCAGCATGATCCATCCCCATGTACCTAATAATCGTTATGATCATCATTGTCCTCATGATCCTCCTCATCATCACTATCATCATCAGCAGCAGCAGCACCACCATCATCATCATCATTCTCATCAGCATCATCAGGATCATCATCGGAATCAGCATCCATCGTCATCAGCATCATCATCATCATCATCATCATCATCATCATCATCATCATCATCATCATCATCATTATCATCATCAGCATCATCATCATCCTGTGCGTCCACCTTATCCTCCTCCTCCTTCTCTTCCTCCTTCTGTGTCTTGTCCTCCTCTCCCTCCTACTCAAGCTCTTCATCATAATCATCATTGTCATCGTCGCTGGCGTCGTTTATCGTTATCTCGACAGCATCATCATCATCATCATCATCATCATCATCATCATCATCATCATCATTATATCCGATATGCTCATCGTTATCATCGTCATCATCCTTAACAGCATCATCATCATCAATTATCATCATCAGCATCGTCATTACAATAATCATCATTACCATCATCATCATCATCATCATCACCATCATCATCATCATCATCATGATCATCATCATCAGCAGCATCAGCAGCATCAGCATCATCACCATCACCATCATCCTAATCGTCGCCATCGTCATCGTCATCATCATCATAACCGTCATCAGCATCATCATCAGCAGCATCAGTATCCGCATCATCAGCGTCATCGTCATCAGCATCACCATCACCATCGCAATCATCATCAGCAGCATCATCATCAGCATCGCCACCATCAATGTCATCATCATCTTCATCATCATCTTCATCATCAGCATCATCAGCACAATCATCATCACCATCATCATCATCATCATCATCATCATCATCATCATCATCGCCACCTCCTGCGATGTTCCCGAGGCAGGCCACGAGTGGCCCGCGGGCCTGCCTGGCCGCGAGGGCCTGTCCTCCGCCCGCGGCGCGGCCCTCCCGGCCCGCGGGCCTCGGCACGGGAGGCCCCGGCCGCGTCGGCCCACGAACGGGGGCCGCTGCACGCCGGAGGGCCGGCTGCCGTAAGAGTGACGTTTCGCTGGAGAGGCCCCTTCGGCGCGGGCACACGTTTGAGCGCAGCTGCCCTGAGGCGCCCGTGCTGAAACGCAACGTGCACCGTGTTCACAAGACGTCCATGTTCACACGCTGCGTGTTGGCTCGGCACGTGCGGGTCCACGTTTTGGCGAACGTATCGCGCCAGACCTGCGTGGTCAGTCTACGGGTTGAGCTCCGCGGCAGCACGCTACGGGTTGCGTGTTGCGTATTTGGGCAGCTAAGCACTGCGGTTCCAAGATGATTCAACGCGCTGCGATAGCAGCGTCCTGCGCGCCCGACATTCTTGCCTAGGGGCACTCTTGCGCGTAGCCGACAGAGTGACCGTTCGCAGGAGTGACATTTGGCGCGCGGCTTTCAGGGGGCTTTGGTTGGGCGGTTCCGGGCTTTGGCGGTTCGCGGTTTGAGGCCTAGGTGTTCGGGCGCATTGGCCGGTTCTCGGCAGTTTTCCAGCCTCGGGATGCTTTCCAGCGGCTGCGCCTCGCCAAGAGCGTTCCTGGAGTGCTCGAACCCTCCCGAACGGCCGCAGGAGGCCCGAGATATGACCCGAGAAGCAGAGGGAGGGGATCGGCTGCACGTGGAGAGCGCCCCTTCGCCGGAGCCACTTTGGGCGCGTGACGTTCAGGGGTCGACTACTGCACACGTAAGAGTGACCCTTCGTCGGAGTGACCTTTGGTGCGGGCTCATCGGGGCACCCCCGATCGCTGAGTGCGATGCGGAAGCAGCACTCTGCGCGCCTGGGTCTGGCCCCCGCGCGCGCCCCCCCCAGGAGCCGCGCACCGAAGGTCGCTCTTGTCCCGGGTCGCTCTGGCGTCCAGCTGGAGGGGGCGCGGGGAGGGCCAAGCCCCAACAGTCGCAGGCCGCTGCAGTCGCATCGCGTGTGGCGATCGGCCGGCCGCGCGCCAAGGATCGATCCTGCCCGTGGCCGCTCGCTGGCGCGCAGCGAGCACGAGGGGAACCGAAACGTGTGCATGGCGCGCGCGCACCTCGAAGATCGCGAGGCAGCGCGAGCATCAGCACTGCACGGGGCCAGCGCTGGAGGACTCCCGTTCTGCACATCGGGCGGCGCCTCTGACGCTGCCACCATCGCTCTCCGCGGGCCCAGCGGCGGATTTCTGGGCAGACCTCGGCCAGCAGGCCACCAGCGGGCCGCCAGAGAGCCGCAAGGGCTGCGAGTGGGACGACGTCGCCGCCGTCATCGCCGACGCCGTCGTTGCCACAGCCGCCATCGTTGTCATCAGGATGAGGGACGTTGAGCAAGCAGCGAGAAGGGAGTCGAGGAGAAGGAGAAGAAGGAGGAGGAGGAGGAGGAGGAGGAGGAGGAGGGGGAGGGGAGGGGGAGGGGAGGGGGAGGGGGAGGGGGAGGGGGAGGGGGAGGGGGAGGGGGAGGGGGGGAGGGGGAGGGAGGAAGGGAGCAGAGGGGTCTCAGCGGACTTTGATTGGGAGAGGGGGAGGAGAGGCGGATGAGGAGGGCGTTCAAGAAGGGTCACAGAAGGGCGTCTTCGCCTGAGGCGCACAGACAGACAGGCGGAGCGCCAAGCCATGCCCCGTCTCGCCAGCCCGCGCGAGGACCCGCAGAAGGTCTCGCGTTCGTGCCCCCGGCGTACCGCTGCATGGTCATCGGCGGCTCCTACTCCGCCACGCTGGTCTCCAAGGCGCGGGCGATCTCCGTCCCGCGACTGGGGACTGCGCCCCGCCAAAGTCCAGACATGCGAACTATCGTTGCCAGAGGCTGCCCTTTTCAGACCGCACGGCGAAGGCTTGTCTGACCAGCATCTCAACATCTTGGCGGCGGGGGCTGCGGATACGTTTACGGACATGGAGCAGGGAAAACAGGAGGAGCAGGAGCAGGGATAGGGTGGGAAGATTGGGCGGGGGAGCAAACATTGCTTCACACCACCCCATCTGAGCATCATCTCTGGAGTTGCCGTGGTGGGCGGCATGTGGGTCTGCACGGCAATCTGCTCCAGTTGCCCAGTCTTGCCCTGCTTCTCCCCCGCCTCATGAGCCCAAGAGGAGGCGGCGACTCTGATGAGGCGAGCGGCGGTGGTTGCCACCTTCCCCCCCGTCTACATTCCTCCTATCCTTCCCTTGCCCTTACCTACCAGTGACCCACGACAGCCTGCCAGACAGTCTGCAGGCCAGGGCCGCCACACTTGCGACGAGCAGCCTGTTGCCAGACACGGCGGACGCTGGCCGTTGTGTTACGGGACGTTCTCAGGGCGCCCGCTTGGCCTGTTGGTGGCTCCATGCGTCGGCGGAGATGGAGCCATCCGAGCTGGCACGCCCACCGCAAAAGATTTGTAGCCAGGCGGACTCGGGGCTATGATGCTGGCTCGTGGCTCGCCGCCGCTTTTGCAGTGCGGGCTGGCCGCGTGCCCTGCCCATCACCCCATGCCTGACGGTGCAGTTGACTGCGGCTGCGCCCACTGCCGTCATGAAAGACTTCGTTCGCACGCCAGGCTGGCACTTTGGGACTCGACGAGGCGCGGGCGGCGAACCCGCGAGGGATAAGCGGGCGCGGGCGGCCAGGTGATCGACGAGGCGGGCCCGCGCACCGACCCCACGGGCATCTTGAGGCGCGCACGCCAGCGGCACCCCGCTTGGTTTCCCTCGTCGTCGCTGTCGTCGTCGTCGTCGACTTCCGCATTCTCTCTCCTCCGCTTCCCTCTTCCATGTCCCTCCTCCATCCAGAGCGATTGAGAGCGGTGCGTCAGCAGCCAACAGTGACAATGGACGATATCGGTTACTCTTTCGCTTACGCTTCGTAATCCACCGATGAGCAACTCCATGCTTAGCACCAGCACCACGTGCACGATGTGTAGTGTAGCACTGTTGGAACCATTAATCTCACGACAACAATACGAACCTAGTTATCTGCGCAAAGTTTTCAGACTACGGAGACGACCGGAGGAGGGGGCATCAGGGTACAATGTCAGGACCGCGCGAAGTATCGAGGACAGGATGCACCAGACTGGCACAACCACCATCTACGCCAGGATCTTGAAGCACTTCTTCAAACGAGCTTGGACGAAGACGCACTTCACTTTGGACGACGGGCAGTTACCGATGCACACTTTGCACGGGTGCCGGAGCGCTCAGTGGAGGGACACAGTAATAGCGCTCAGTTTTAAGCGGAAGATGGGGAGTTTAGGATTGGTGCACAGCCGCAGATGGCCACAGGCCGCAAGCTGGGAGCCCATATTTGTTCATGTGTGGGGAACGGAACGGAGAGGCCAGCGAGACGGATGCACGACCCTTGCTACTTGGATGGATTTACTTCCAGCCTTTCAAGAGAAAGTATTTCGTGACTGGGGGCTGCCGGCGACTCCGGTCGTGGAGCCTTGCGTAGGACAACAGCTGAAGCGGGCGCGTCTGCACAGCGACATGCATGACATACCGGTACTCGTTAAGTACCCGACGGAGGCCTATTGGAACGCTGGTTCTCGGCGCATCTGGGTTCCGACTGACAAGCAGACTCTGGAGCAAGTCTGCGCGGGGCTCGCTCGATTGGATCATCCTTGGATGCGGCCGCTCTTCGATCGTATTGGCCGACCGACATTTGCACTTATTGCTCGTCGACACCATTCACCGAATGGGACAAGAGGGATTTGAACACAGTCGCCGATCACGCGGCGAATGTCGCCCTCGACGTGAGACGAGATTGGGAATGGCAAAAGCAAGGGCTTATCGAAACTGCCCGGGTGCAGGGCACTTAATTTCGAGCGTGCGTTGATGGCGCGCGGGGAGTCGACGCGCAATTTGCTGGCGGCATGGCCGCATACGCACACCAGCATCCTGATCAGGGGCAGCTTGTGTTCCAGGCAGGCAAGTATTTGGGACATTTTGATTTCTCATTTCTGGCGGAAGCGACGTCTATGGAGTGGGCTCTGGAGATTCTAATTACGACACTACTGGGTGAGAGGGCGCCATTGCGGCAGTGGGCAGGTAGGGTGTGCGTTCATCGAACCGTCCCGCAATGCGAAGATAAGAAAAGTTAGATGACGAGTACTACTAGCAATAAAATCACCTTTTCCGAATAAGGAGAATACCAGTGCGAATGCTACAA